GTATTCTCTCAAGAAATTGTTCACACCGAGTTGTTATAGCATATGGCAACTATACAAACTGGCCGATCAAAATCAAGTTCTTGTGAGGAATCTTTGTATTTGTGAAGGGTATTATAGCTTCGGAAGCTAATATGTTTTCTGTTTTTTCTTTTTTTTTGCAAATGCCCCCTAAAGTTTAAGTTAAGTTAATGTCGTAAAAAAGGATCAAATGTAAACAAGCACTTTATTCTCAATTTAATTGGTGGCAAAATCATTTTACTTTTCCCATTTACCTTACATAGGATTTTTTAATCTTTTGCAATAAAGTTTTTATCTGCAAAACAAATAAGACTATAATTTTACAAAATATATTATATAACATATTTTGTGTAATTGCATATTCTATTACAAAATTGTGTATTGGAATATCACTCTTAGAATATCACTTTTTCTTGTGAATTGCCTTGCTTAGTGCAAAATATCAAAAAATTCCATGTTATATACATATTTGAAAAGGAATATAATTTAAGCACTGTGTAAATTAAAAATAAAGAGCTTGCTTATGCTGGTTATTTGTTTTTAGGACAAAAACTAAAACTTTAGGCGGCGTTTGCAAGAACACAATCAACTTGGGAACTAACGGACACCCAAATGTAGGTATATACTTGTGCATACATATGAAGCTTTAATATCTTTTAGCTTTACATATTCATGCTTTTGACATAGAAAAGTAAAGTCTATATTGAGTTGTAAATACTCGTGGCTAAAAGTAATTATTTATGCCGGTGACATTTATTGTTACAATTTTGATATAAATAAATATAAAGTTGAAGTTAATGCATTAAAAAATATCTATGCTTGTATGTATGTAGGTAGGTATATATGTTGTGTTTGTGTATGCTAGTAAATTAATTAAAACTTTTTTCTAAGAGTACGCAAGTTTTGATTCGTTTTATTCTCGTTTTACGCACTAAACTGTAGTTATACAATATACTTGTAATGCAAATGTTTAGCAAAAGTTTTACCATGACAGCACGCACAAAGCGAGTACAAAGTTCAACCACAACCAGGCCTTAATTATGTTATGCCATAATTATTCCATGCTCGTGTAAACTTTTTGCGGTATGATCATGTTTTATATTTTATTAGAGATGTGAATTGTAGCTATATATGTTGCATATTTTTTGCTGTCAATAAATATTAGTAGCAATATTCTAGTCTCCATAAAAAAACCTGTACAAATTTTAAAGGATGCATCTACTCCTATTCAACATTAAAATTTGTTGCAAAGGGGAAGAGAGTAAGGTCAGTAGTGATGTTATTCGAAAGGAATGAAATTTTATATTTACAAAATTTCCACCGCGAAAAAACGACAACAAAGCAGCAAAGAAGACTGTAACTGAACCGGTGCATATTTTTTAGGCGTTGGCAAAGCTTTATATTAACAAATATTGCCACAGCTTTCAATAATAATTATTCAAACAAATTTAACCGTTATATTTTTGGGGCTAAGGTTTAGACCGATTTCATTTTGCTAGTGAATAAGAAAACACTTATAAAAAGTGGTTAAAAAAACCTTTAAGTATTGCACATCTTGACCTAGGTTAACTGTTTAAAGTCAAGTGGAAAGTCGGTAATCATTATATTTAATGTATGAGTGCTAGGAAAAGTATTGACCCGATTATATCCTTTTTCTGCAAAAAATAATAAAATTTTTATGGAAAGACGCTCTCTGAATGTCATTAAGATAATTGACATAACATATATACGGTATAACGTCAACCGGATAACCTTTAAATTAGTTATAAGAGGGCTAGGAGCAATTCATCCGATTTTATTTGGTTTCGCCAATTTTCACAATGTACTCATATGAGGAGTTAGGAGCCAAAAAAGTATGTTAGGTATATTTAGCCTTAGCAGTTTGTAACAAATATAATTTTAACCTTATATGAGGCGGGGGATAATCACTTTTTAAAAAAAATTTAACCACAGCTACCCATTCATACTTCGATGATCTCTACTTAATTACATTTTTGTACTATAATGTTTGAAATTTTATAGGTTTTGGATTAACGAAATTACGAGGTCGCTGTCAGTGAAGCTACAAAATGAATTCCGCAAAAAAAGCTGCAAAGGGCATTATCAATTATTTGTGATTGTAGAAAAAGGTTTATAATTACACATTTAGCGAGCTGAATTTCATATTAAACTTAAGTTTCCTAGCAACTGCATAACGAGTGTTAATTTAATCAAGTTTATTCAAACTGCACTTTTTTCCGACGCACTACTTGTTTATATGTAGTTTCTGACATGTACAGGTGTGAGCAATTTCATTAATTTCACTTGATTCAAATTCATTTCCATTGAATGAATTTTCCAACAATTTGCAACAAGTGTTAACACTGCGATAGATTTACTGCAAATTGAGTGAGCGGTGTTGAGCACGCGACACTAATGGCCTTCATTGTAGTCTCATGCATTGGCAAAATCAATCGCCAATGAAATCAAGCATTTTTACAACTTTTATACTCTCACACACACAGCCATATTTCTATTCCCTGAACAGGGCATCTTACGCCGAAGTAAACCCAGTAACACACAGAACGAAACGTTGCAGAGTCGCTTTAGGCAACAGTGGAGACAATATAAAGTATAAATATATAAATGATCAGCTTGATTAGCAGAGCCGTTTTAGTCATGTTCGACTTTCATTCCGTCTGCATATATGGGAATTAGTCTCCCATTTTTTGAGATAACAATCTGAACCTGAAATATGAACACGTCATTTTTATATGTTGTCTGCCATACAAATCTATGGATCGAAATCAAAGCCTTGTATGAAAACTTTTTTATTTGAAAAGATAGCTTCAAGAAATTGAGTATTAAATATTGTCAAAGACAATGCTACAATTTCCGTAAATATTGTTTAGATCAAAGCTATAAAGCATATAGTTGCCGTACAAACTGATTGATCGAAATTAAGATAAAATCATTTTTGAATTTTTTACGCTACAAGAAATGTACCAGTGAAGGGTATTATATTGTAGCTACGGTGCAGCCGAGCTTAACATTTTTTCCATATTTTTGTATTTTTTGCGGCTTGTTTTCATTCTGCCTGTGGTGTACTCTGGTGTAGGGTGTTTTATTTTTGCTTTGAGCTCGAGTAAAATCGATTACAGGGAATTGGCGCTGATTGTTGCCTATCGCGTAATTGTTGACACTTTTCTTTGTTTGGTTTTCGCTTTATTTGTTTTTTGCCCTTTTCTATGCTATTATTTGTTCGTTTAGTTTGCGGACTACTTAACATAGCTTGCCGACTTACGTTTCGCTTTGTTGGGCGAGCATTATTAAATATTCATGCGACTCTTCTGTGGATACAACTAAAACCAATTAAATTATTGGAACGCTCACAAAATAAATTGGCCCTTTTGTTTATTTTTTAAATGGGAAAATGGAAAATTTGGGTGATAATTATTTATGTTTAGTAAATTCTATGTAAATACATATTTAGACAAGTAATTTATTTAAAAAGATTATATATTGTACACAGAATTATTAACGATGGCAACATTGTACACAATTTCTGTCGATACTTGACACAAAAGATTGTTTTAGAAGAATTTGTGTCTGCGTTTATAGGTATAACGACAATGCCGAATAGCTCACACAATAGAATATAGAGCTTATGAATAATAACAACATGAATATAGTCTTGCTATAAATTCTGTTATAAAGTTCTGTTCTGCATAAATCGAGGAAAACTTCTTAGAAAAAAGTGTCATTATTCTTTATTATAATTTGTTTGTAGTATCTACTCATATATAGTAACCAATTCAGGGTTTTGCTTTCGTTTATTAACAATGGAGAAAAGAGCAAAAGCAAATCGTATTACGGCGATTGCTTTACATGAGGTAGAAAAAGCGCAAGACAAATTTATAAGCCTCTTAAAGAACTTAATATAATATTTCGATTTTTTTTTACCGCACTATTGATTGCTTTTCCCCAACATTTACAGTTGATAGCAGAAGTAGAAGTGTTCCTCCTCACGTGCTTAGAACCAATTTAGGCATAAGAATTCTTAAGGTACCCATTCGTATAAATCTCTATAGAAAGCAGAAAATTTTGTCAATGGAAATGGTTATATCGACCAGATTAATGCCCAGATTTACAGACACAAGCAAAAACTTTCCAGCAGTCGCTTAAAATCAATATTCTTTGTTTCAAAGCTGCATATGATTGGCCGTCTGAAGGACCTAATTTGAATCTATTGCACTACAGACAAGAACCTGAATACTCTATCGTGGTATAGGTATATAATGATTTTACGATTATACGCTAAGTTGGTGGGAAGACAGGATTCACAATAAATCTGGAAAATATTCAAAGCGGCAATTTTTTAAATAAAACAAAATTATATAATATATTCTCGATTCTCTAAGTAGTAATAATTCTTGAATAAAAGCAACGCTGAAAACAACTACCTTGCAAACAAAGGACTATAGACTGCTTAGCATTCTGAAAAGGTCGATAGAAGTAAAAGTGTTACTACCTAAATGGCTTCATAGAACACTGCCATAGTAGAAATTCATACGATGTACAATATACTAGCTCTAGTGGGTGTAAAGGGTAAATAACAGCGGACGAGTTGATTCGCTCAACTGCTGATAAAAGCGTCTAATTCTTGCTTAAAGCATTATGAACTACACAGAACAACTGAGTCCATAGATTTTAGTCAAAACGTGGTTCATTAATCCAAAAAATGTTTGCATGATATCCAGTTCTTTTAATGGCTACCATTGAATGAAAAATATCAGAGAGGTGCGGGTGAAAAATATTAGCTGAAGAATAGTTTGAAGTTGTGAATCAAATTGTACGAATAATAATTGAGTTATATATTAATAAATTTAAGGTTTTTCAGTACTTGTTGAAAGGAAGATGTTTAAAGGGGTATATAACATTTACACAATAGTTCAAATATTATTTATTTCGTATTCATATTCAATGGTATTCAAACTACTTACCTGAAAACTATGATTTATATTCTTAATACTACATTCAGCGGTACATAAATCGGATAAATCGATTTCATCGAACACTTCACTCTGTAAATAGAAAAAAACGAAATGGCACTTCACATGAAAATTTGAAATGAATGGTGATACAAGATTGTTAATAATTTGCTTCATCAGCTTTATATATAATAATTGTTTCAAAATTGTGTTAGAATAACAGTTACTTTGTTGGCTGTAACACAAACAACACAGTAGAACACCACAATATGAAACGGAAAATATTTATTTTTAAATATTTTGAAAGTAAAACTTGTGGCAACAACTGTCAGCAACTGCTACATTGCTTAATAAAATGTCCCAACGCATCAGCAGCAGCACTAAATATCCGTGAAATGGTTATCATGGCAGTTTATAGCAGCTGTCGGCAATAGTGTTGTTGAGGAGTAGTGACAGCATTTGTAAAAAAATCAGTTAACTATGACGACAGCAACAAATTTTTCTGCATGCATTGTGTTCGAATTTTCCCTTCGTTTTCTAAGCAGAAAAAAAAAACAAATATATATATAACATATTAATTGTGGCTTATTTTTAAGCGCAACTGTTGTAAAAATAAAAAAATAATAGTAACCAAAAGTCTCTATAATCGGTTTATCATTAATGAATCCAATCAGTCGTTGTTAGAAAAAAGCGCATCAAAAAGTTGGAAGATCTCTATAATCAGTGTATCATGCATTATTTGCAATGACAACTATAATTCATAATGAATACGAATTTGGCAAAAAAAAAAAAAACAATTTAGCATACTTCATTAGAATTTTGAAGTCGGAAAACACACATTTCATTAGCGGGCATAAAATCAATCATATATAAAGATTTGTAAAGTACCTTAAAAGAGTAAAGGACCTCAACTTTAATCCATTATAAAACAAGATCTACTTTAATTGTTATTAAGGCCTTAAGAGCTTTAAGTTACCTTCAAAGTTCAGCCTAAAACTCACTTTTATTCATATAATATTCATATCAAAAGTAGCTTTTGAAGATTCCGTAAATTCTGATTAGAGTATCAACTACTAGACTCAGATTGACTTTTATTATAAAAAAAAAAATTATTTAGTTATGTATATTTTTTTTTTTAAAACAATATTTGTGTGAGAACGAAATATAATTGGAAGTACAATACTTGTTGAAACCTGTAAACTGCAAAATATCCAATAGTCAAACAGAAAATACTATATAAACTAAACAACAGCTATAAGCGTTGAGTGCTCAATTCAAATAATTCAAAGTAAAAGTTTCATACAGACAGGATTTGTCTATTTTTTTGGCGCTGAGCACACATCCAGTTGTTGAGAGTGGCGTTGATATTTCAGTATTATTCAAGTGCTTGTCGTTGGTCATGATGCCATTGTTTATGTCACCACTATGCATTGTTATTGTTTTTGTTTTTATAGCTTCGCTTGTGTGACTCCTCGTAGTGCCTGTCAGGGATTGAGCAAGGTTAGAGTGTGCTTAGCTGCATTATTAATAAGCTTTTGACATGCAGTTTTTAAGCATGAAAACTTTAAGTGAATCTATGAAAAAAAAAATATTATTATAATTTGCATATTATTTTGTTTCACCATTTACCATAGAAAATGTCTGCTAACTAGCTTGTTAATATGTTTAAAATTATATGAATTAAATATTTATTAGATACTCGCATACAATATAAAACTCCACTTTTAATTTTAATTTAAATATTCTGCAAAAATACTTGTATTTTCATAAAAGCTGGTAGATACGTGGACCTTGTAAGTTGTGACAATTCTAATAACTAATTATAGTTATGTACCCTCTACAACACTAACAAAACTTAAATGCTTACTAGTAAGTATCGAATTAACTACTTAAACCTTAAGCAAATTATTTCCAACTGAAAAGCTTCTTAAAGTTATAACTACTATGAACGAACTAATGAGCGCTCCAAACTTTTGAAGGCTAGTTGGGTAAAATATTTGGCTCCACTTATGCTATAACCAGTTTGCACGTAGTAGACTCTTTATCTTTAAAATTTAGGTAGACCTTCACTCATAATAATATTTGCTTAATACTAAAATTTAATCATTTTGTAAACATTTTGACTTTCAATTATAAATTATTTCTATTAACCATTGAAAACTAAGTTAATTAATTTCGGCAATCAGCTTTTCTCTTGCAAACAAAAGCATATTCAGCATGCGTATTTTCAACTTTTATCAGCTGCTGGAAGGATATTTGTTTACTCTACTATTACGAATGCGTTATTTTCATAATGGCAGCTAAAAAAATTTTTATATTTAATATGGTACTACCTGTATATATACCCTATAAGTTTGCAACGAACAAACGAAACACGCAAAAGAAAACGTCGGAGAGATTATCAAATATTTGTATAAATTATCAACATGACGAGCAGAGCCGACTGTGCCATATCAGGTCTATTCGTCCATCTATCTGTAATAGTAGATATTTTTCGAGTACAGCAAATATCTGTCATACACGAAATTTGCACGGGTTAATTTATTAGTGATGGTGCAATATCCGAAGAAATTGTTCATAGCGAGTAGAATATAGCTCTCGTACAAACTGAACGATCAAAATTAAATTTTGGTAAGGAATTTTTTGTATTTGTGAATGATTGCCTGCCTGTAATGAGAATCTGTGAATAAATCATCTGAAAATGTATAGTTTATCGAAACTAGTAGGACAAAAATAATTTTAAAAATTTCAGCATATTAACTATATGTAAGTAAATATTTACAAAAGCCTCAAAAGCAAAGTACTTTTATGCATTGAATATAGCCCTCGTTAATATTCCGTAATATTTCTATATATGTGTGTGAAATTACAGTGACTTTTTCTTTACCCACATTGGCTCACATATTTTTCCCATTTTAAAAATTGATGTTATATGTTTTGTTTTTGCAACAGCTTTTGGTGGACAACACCGTCATTATATATGCTTGTCCGCACTCTATTCTAATATAGCTGTTACAAGAACAAACTTTTTTTATACGACATACTGCTCAGGTAAATTTAGTTGCCACCAAAATATGTCAGAAATAAAAAATAATGTTCAAGGCTAAATTGTGAAGGATTTTCTTTATGTATATGATACGTTTTTAACATTTTTAATGTGTATAATATATCAACTTTTAATTTTGGAGCTTAACTAATGAAGGCTTTTCAGAGTAATGGAAAAGTTGTGTAAAAATTAAACAAAATAAAATATAACAACCTTAATCTGACCGCATTGCAAGGTAAGTTACCTTTTGTTCAAAACATAACATCAAATTGTAAAGTCATGTCGTACTTAACCAGTCTTTCTGGTGTGGGATAACTCTTTTTTTTTCCAAATTGATTTTCTGCGAGCAATTGTTCTCTGTTTACTACATTTACCTGACATCTACGTTATCTCTTTAGTGTTTATGTAAACTAAAATTGCAAAACACAAATAAGACCAACCACCGCAGGCAAATCATCGTGTGCTCATCAGGCAGTGTGTTTGTTTGTGTCGCTTGCAGAAGTAGCTTTGTTATTACGATATTTGTATAAAGTCAAAGCATTTACCCAGCGGTTGCGTATTTTACACTGTAAAACAAACAGTAAACAAAACGTTTTTGTATATACAGATTAGGGTGTTTGTTAGTTCCCACGCTGATTGTTTTTGCAAGCGCCGCTGAAGTTTCAGTTTTTACCTTAACAATTTAAACCGTGCTTAAGTCATTTATTTCTGCTTTTTTATTCTTTGCAATAATGTTTTTATCTTCAACACAAATACACTACCTACAACTTTGAAGAGGTAATATTCGAAAACAAAATTTTCCGCTCCACAAAAAAGAGCTAGCTGATTTTTTCATACAAACATTGTTTTAAAAATTATTTATAGTACTGCATTCATAGAGTACACCATGTCGTATGAGCTACACAGAATGAATAAATCACTTGTCTGAATGCTCTGCAATGATTTTATGGAAAACATACCACCCTTGTAGAGCCGAAATCTTCACTTGAATATTATGTTTTCAAGATTTTAGATCCTTTTTTTTTTATCCAAAATATCAAAAAATTCCATGTTACCATATACACATGGGAAAATATATATGGCATAGGCACAATCTAAATTGAAAATAAAGAGCTTGTTTATGTCCAACCCTTTTTTAAGGCAAAAATTGCAACTCCTGGCGGTTGCTAGAATACAATCAACTTGGGAAATAACAGACACCCAAATATATACATTTATATTTGATGTTTGTACATAAGCAATGTGGCATGTGAAAGTTATTCACAATTTAGTATGACAATTGTTTACTTCTCTGTTTTGTGGGTTTTCTGTTCCAGACTGCGGTGTGTGTAGGTGGCATTAGGTATGCTATTTTCAATAGCTAGGACATAAGAATATAGGTAACAGTATCACTAAATAAAATTAAATCAAGATAATGGTAACAATACAAGCTTTGTTTCTTATTTTACTGACATTTTATTAGAAATAAACAATTTGATATGAAATATTAATAGCAGCCGAATACCTTTTGAATATGTCAAAAACTCACAATAATGCTATACAATACTAACCTATAGTATAGGGGACTGCGTACTGCGTACTTGGTTCCTGCTACAATTTTTTTAATATAAATTTTTAAGTAAATATATTATATTTGAAAATGCGAGTGTGTGTGCGCATATTTTGTGTGATTTAAAATTCACCTTATATATCTGCTGATTGTTTTTATACTCTTGCAACATATTGCTACAAAATACAGTAGTTTTGTTAACCTAACGGTTGTTTATACCATTTAAAAATAATCGCGTTAGATATAGGGTTATATATATATAAATCATTAGGATAATGAGACGTATTGAACTCCTAGTGACTGTATATCTGTCCGTCTGTCCGCGTGTGCAAGCGATAACTGGAGTAAAAAATTAAGACATCTTGATGAAACTTGGTACACATGTTCTTGGCTAAAAAGTAAGGACGAGTACGTAGATGGGCGTAAACGGAAAATGGCCACGCATATATAAATCGCCATTAATCGAAAACGTATAAAGTGTTATGAATAAACCGTAAA